TGGGCCGATTATAATAAGTACAATCGTTTAATCAATATGTTACAGATTATATTTTAAAAAGCGAATTTAGAATAAGTGCGTTGTGACGCCATTTTGTCGTGCACAAGATGGCGGCGGTACACAGAATGACACATATCTTTGTGATCAGATTGACATTGTAGATATATATATTTAACTGCCGCTATATATTTTGTGAGGCGACGTCGTAATGCTTTTTTGAGGCTTGCAAGAGAAATGTGTCAGTGAGATGTTAGTCAATAAATTAAGTCAATTTTAACCTAAACCTAAAGGAGTTTTTGCTTCATATAGAAATTTACATATCAAAAAGACAAATAATTAGTGTAAATATTTGGAGGATTTCCAGTACTAAATACACATGTACAAAAAAAATACGATTCTGCGACTTTTTCCGCTTAATTTTGAGTTTTTTTGTGTCTATACTCTTACTGTTTTAATTTGAATGCCTTTAAACTTCTATTTTCTTTTTTTTTCTTATCTATAAATATAATTTTGTTTTTAACTTACATTATAATTACATTTAACGCGGCCTAATCGAAGAAAATGTAGTAACTACTTGATAAATAACTTTATGAAGTACCCTCATTTCCTAATAATTGCAACAAAGATTAGTTTCCAATCTTAATCCAATGAATTTTCATCTTTAAAGAGTATTTATGTGCAATTTTATGGTTATTTGTATGACAAGATAATATTTGGCAATTAAAATGATTTTTTGAACACCTACCGTCACTTTTCTTCGTATTACGTCGCATATAGACATGGCGAGACTCACATATTGAACGTATTTGCTTTTCTAGCTAACTGGCGACGCGGCGGCGCAAACACACACACACATATCAAGATGGCGGCAACAGACGAACACACACACACACAGCCACACGACTGCGGCTCGGTGTTGCCATTGCAAACACCACTAACCAATAAGTTTCACACCATAGACTATGCAGTAGTTAAATACAGCCGGATTAATCATTTTATTACTTATTTTTTTGGATTCTTTAGCTCAGCATGCTTTTAAAATTACACGAAATAGTGAAAAAATCTTTCTTTTACTTATTGATTGTAAGGAAAAATTTATGGAATTTTTAAATTATTTTTTTATGTTTAAAAAGTTTCTTCATTTGGAAACTTAGTTTTTTTATATATAGCGTGCTATCTTATTTTCCAATTTTTAAGATATTTCTTATCAAAGACAATATCTATATTTAAATTTTTTGAAGTAAATTTGTTGTAAAAAGCGGCTTTAGTTAATTAGTATGTAGTCTATGGTGTATCCACGTAGAATATTTTAGTTACCACTAACGAAAAAAAAATCTCTTAAAAAGGGGGTAATAATTTTTTGTCAATGGCAACTTTATTATTCCTTATGTTACGTTTTTTTTTCTATTTAGTGATATAGATCACTCCTATAAAGACATTAACAGATAGTTTTTATTATAACGTAGTACACAGTAACAAGTTTTCATGTTAACACAAATATGACAATTCCATTTTTTTTTAATTCTTTTTGGTTATTTTTTTTCTTAAAAAAGTATTATTTCCTCTTTTGTTTTGAAGCGGAGATAAAAATAGACTCCGTGTGGATGCGTACGCATTTTATTTTTTAATTTTGAACTCTATCGTCCATCCTAAAGAGGTGGTCAGAGTTTTTTTTTTCTTGTTATTAGTGGCTTTATTATTTAAGCATTATTCCCATTACTTTGTGTATTGTTAGAATTTAGTTTTGTGTCGATACAGTGCCATTCTCGAATATATATGCAAATTATTAATTTGAAATATAAATTAGCAATTTTTTTTTTCGAAAAATTACACAAAAAAAATGATTTTTGACAATTTCATATATGAAAATATTTTTTATGTTCAAGACTAGTAATTAAATTTTTATGATATTAGGATTTTTTTTTTAAATTAATTACATTTTTTTTATTAAATATCTGTTGAATTTTGAGAATGGTACTGATTTTTCCCGATTTATAGTGATTATTATTTAGGCAATATTAATTTGTGTATTTGTATTTGATATGTTGATAGTAGATATGTTACTGTGAAGTTCAAGTCGCACGAAAATATGGAAAAAAAATTGTCAACGTGCAACAGGATAAATTGTTTGAAAAAAAAATCTTGTCACATAAGAATTGTACATGAAAATAAAGAAAAAATGGTGTAATTTAGAAAATATAATGAACGAGTTTCATTTTAAATGCTTGGTGTGTGCATGTTTTTTACGACTACCGCATGGTTTTTTTTGTAACAAAAAAATGCGTTTGTAAAACCTTGTATTTTTTTTAAGAACCAAATTTAATTAAAAAAAATATTTGTAAATGTAAGTAAATAGTTTAGCACTGTCTAGGATAGTAGTCGCAAAGTCAATTATATTGGATTAGTGGGAAATAATAACAGTACAGTTTTTTCTATATAAAAAAAAAGTTTTTTCTTAATAAAATGTCGATGTGTTTGGGCTCAGCACAAGGTTTTAGAATTAGTCGGCATACTATGATATATAATGCTATATTTTTTTCTTAATATAATTATAAATGTTTGTATGTGGATTTGTGGTAGATTGTCTGTCTGTACTGCTGTATAAACCTGGCACAATCTGGATTTCCACTGATTTTCAAACACCCTGTATTACTGTTGCCTTTAATCGCTATATTTATTTCGTTACCACAGAGAATATAGTAAAAAGTCGATGGATTATAGTCATTAATTAAGTAATAATTTAGTGGAAATCTTTAACAGAAATTGTCTTTATTTTTCATCTGTAGACTAGAAAGTTTTATAGCCGGCCAAATAAAAAAAAATCATAGTGTTTAGCTGAAGAAAACATTGTTATCAGGTATTTAGATGCATATCCTTTTCTCTAGAAATATTTTCGAATGAAATTAATTAAAAATAAAAGTATATTAAATATTAAATGTTTTAGTGATAGGACATCAATGTTGTGGTAGCTTTGTCCGTATTTTTTTCCTGTTTAGCATTCAGAGAAATAATGTAATTTTTGTTTCTTTTGAATTATATATTAATAATTACTAAAATAAGTACTAAAAAAGCAAACTATTGTAACTGCCGTCAAAAAATTTAAAAACAAGAGTACATTTTGCAAGAAAACTAAATAAGTATTTTTTGAGGGTAGTTACAAATTTCCTATCGGTAGTATATTATGTAACTAACACAAACATGTCGCAATAAACTTGAGTGCACTACGAAAACACTCATAAAATGTTTTCTAAATGCGGTCACATGTTTTTGTGATTGTTTTGGTAATGAAAACTCGAAAGAAATACTGTCAGATCACTGTCAAAACAAGAAACTACGAAATAAAGGACATACAAACAAATACTGAAACAGCACACCGGCATATAATATTAAGATGTTTTTAATTTTAGTTTCACTTTCATTGTTTTTCTAGATTTCTTTGGGATTTAGGTCTTGTAGTTACATGGTAAACATTATTAAATACATGTCAACACAACAATCTTTCATTTCAACACAAAATACCACTTGTCACCAACTCGAGACAAATAACAAGAGCAAGAAACAAAATTCAAGAGCTAAATTTTGTAGACAATAACAACTGATCTCTTTAGTACCCGCTGCAACAGTTGCTTGGATATGATAGCTATTGCTTTGTTAATTCTAACACTAATATTGGAATGAATCCTCAACACCACTACCAATTGCATCCGTTACTGCTAAAATGGTCAAAATCAATTAGGCACAATATACCACAACTATTAACCTATCTAGTAGGTTAGAGGTACCTACAATCTAATTCTACTCAAAATCAAACATCAAATACAATGAGAAAAAGACAAAAATGCCTTATTCCCGTTCTCAGTCACCCAAATACAGAGTTACTTAAACAGCCTCAAGCACAATCTACACTAAGGAAATTCCTTAGTTAGCATTTAACAACTGTGAAGATATCCAGTCATAAAACAGTACAGAATAGATGGAATATGTTTTAAGTAATATTAAACTGATGTTAAGTGATTGAAAGTCTATGCTAGCTTAAGCAACATGCTCTTTATAACACTTTCAATGCTACAATTTTTCTGTACAAAAATGAACTTGCAGAGTGATTAACGGCACTGATTGTGTTATGTCTTATTGAAATATGTATCATAAGGCTGTATTACCTGAATAGTGCATATAAAGATGTAAATATTGATAAAAAAAACATTTTGAGAAATACCAAAGGATAACCAAAATTAGTTAAAATAAGTGCTATAATTGCTTATGTGAATAAAGTGTGATATATGAAAGTATATTTTGTGTCTTATATTGTTAAAACTTAGACGTCACAAAAATCTCAACATGATTCTCATACCTATATTCTACTCCTCATTTATTCTTCTAAAACAGTAGAAAGTTCTTTACGAAAGGTGCTGCACAAGTTTTTTTTCGAAGATTTCATGAAAGTAAGTTAATAATAATATGTGTTTAGTTGAAAACGTCGTAAAGTTTGTCAAATATGTAAATAAATATTTTTTTGTTTGAAATGTAAAAATTGTGTATTAAAGTTTAAATTACCTTAGTGAGCTACATTCAAAGCGCAGAGTAATGTAAATTTTATAGAAATAAACAATATTTCAATTGCCATTGTTTTATTTATTTATGATTTACAAAATTAGCTACAACAACTAAAAAACTAGCAAAATAAACCATTTTTACTAACCTCAAATAAAACGACAACTTGTAACTACGCAGTACAAAACTGACATTTAAATTTTCCCGCCAATTCTTGCGCACCATAGATACAGTTTAACGCTTTTTAAATTCCTTGAAATTTGTTTCATTAAACCAAATAAAGTTTTATATTTTCTTAAAATCATATAAAAATAACTGAAGTTTTTTCGTAACCTTTTAATAATAAAATAAAAATCAAAAAATTATGTTTAACTGTGAGCAATAGAGAAAATGACAGCGCCGCTTGTGGCAACAACGCGCACTACTTAATGTCAATACGTAATGGTGGCTGCTTGTGCTAGTGAATCATTGCTGACAACTTATATAAAAAACTCTTCTGAAAACCTTCAGAAACAAATATATTTCCGCAAATTTTGATGATTCTAACAGGTAATCATGTTTTCCCTTATTGAGATGGTGAATAATGATTTAAACAACATTATAAGGCGTCACAAAGCGGTGTACGCTACAAAATGGCTGCCGTATCTTTAGAATAAGCGAATATTGTGCAGCAGACATTTTTCTTTTAAGAATTTGTAAAATTTATTTGCTTATGGTGGTAATGGATTTGAAAATTTACTAACTGATAGTCATAGTGATAATAATGTAAACAAAACACCACTTTTGTTAAAGGGCGTTGTGTTTTTACATAAAACAAAATGTTATATAATTTGTCAATTCCATCAGTTTTTAAGTAGCACATTGGATAATAGACTTTTACAAATGTTTTAGCTCTGATATTATTTTTCAGTAATAATATTTATATCCGAGTAATCATAATAACATGTATATTTAGTTCACATGTTATTTAAAACGAACTAAATGATACGTCTACAAACATTGGCTTTTCACACCTCTAAATATTTCGTCCTACGATATGTAACAAATGAAGTTCACAATTATAACCTAAAAATTATCTGTACCAAGCATAATTATTTACATTACCTAAATAAACTTACGAATTCTTATTATTATCAATAATTCCTTGCACAATATCGACAGCTTTTGCCGATTGACTATTGCAGTTTTAAAATAATGATGTTTAGTCGATATTACAATTAAAACAACACAATATCGCCTTTAATCCTGAATTGTCAAAGATTACGGAGAGAATTTTGTTGACATTTTACGCATTTTCGTTACCGATAAATTATGAATATCACGATTAATTTACCTATTATATTTCTATACTTTGTTAAGGTTCTTTGCCAAGTGATATTTTATAATGATTAACTTTTAACCATTATTAAAGCATGATGCTAAGTTGTAGAATGTACGCGCTAGCTAAGTATTAGTACGTGCTGGGTCGTACTGAATGAAATGATTTTTTTTTAGGATGAACCAATACTGCTTTATATGTAATTCAAGAGCTGGAATTTCTTTACGAAATGCTATTAATATATTTGGAGAAAATGTAAGTACATATAACATATATTCATTTTATATTCTCTCGAAGATTTTTCGTTACCGTAAGCTAAAAAACACGTAAAAACATGCTATCTCTGTTTCTTCATGGTGAATGAGAAGGATGAAGGATTTTCGCGTATAATTTATTTCAACGGTGACATTTCAATTATGTTAAGTCACCATTTTGTTTTCCCGCCTTTTTAAACTTAAGTTTTTATTGTAACCGATGTTGGCCAGTTGTAAATTATTTTACTTTTTCTTTCCCGGTGGCCACGATACAGGCATTGCCTAGTGTGGGCATCACTAGATTATCCAAATTAACCATAAATGGTAACTTAATTTAATTTCTTAGTTATGTGCAATTTTTATTATGTTATTGTTTCTTGGTTTAATCTGTATTACCTATAATAAAAACTTTTCTTTCTTTCTTTAGAATTTGCAACAGTCCGGTAAATCTATGGTCAATATTCTAAGCGAAATTCTGGACAAACCGATTAAGGAGAAGAATATACATTCAAAGATACTATGTAATAAATGTCACAAAACTTGTATCGAATATGATTCAATACAAATAAGGTAAGTTAACTTTTAATTAAAAAAACAATAAAACCGTAGGGGGTTTGTATAACACTCTGGTACAAATACGAATCGAAACATGTTACCGACACTAAGCGAATGTTATGTCCCTAAGGTTTTTTTTTGTTGGTAAATTATTCAGCCAACTTTGTGATTTACATTGTGAAAAGACTATACATTTTTCCATAGACAAAATAATTTAATTCTACTTTTTTAGTCTAATGTTTACTTTTTTTTTTAATAATAAAAATATGTTAATTACGAGCAAAACCACAAACTTGAAAACTAAGAACATAATTTTTTAATTCGCTTATAAAATGTCACTTTTTTTCAGATTGCAAGTAATAAAATCTACAATATTAACACAATTTAAAAAAACATTACCTCGACATAATTTGGACTATGATAATTACAATGATGAGTCAACTCCTAAGAAGTTTAGTGGAAAAAAGATTGTACTACCGGCATCAAAGTTGCAACCCTTACCTTCTAACTTTGTACTTAAGGGTGGAAAATTGGGAGCCACACCATTAGCCAATTTAACTTCGAAATTAAATAACGTAAGTATTACTTCATCATCAGCTCACTGAGGGGCTCGAAGCCAACCGTAAGTTAGTGAATCGTCAACCACGCTGGCCCATTGCGGGTTGGTTGACTTCACACATATCTTTGAATTTCTTCTCAGATATGTGCAACATCACGATGTTTTCCTTCACCGTAATGTCGGATAAATGTACATTTGTAGATCGGAAATAGATGAACACATTGGCACAAGTTAATTTAAGTTAGATGTGCAAATAAAGTTACTATTACATTAAAGTGAATCAGTAATTAATCGTTTCCATTAAATTAATCAACCGAACTATAAATGATTTAATGCCAGTTCCACTGGAGCGGCCGCAACTGCCCACGAATTAGAAATATTTTTTTTATATAAGGTGGCAAACGAGCGAGCGGCCATCTGAAATCGCTGATATAGCGAAGTGACCGTTGCCCATAGACATACGCAATTGCATATGCGTTGCCTACCTTTAATCTACGGAGGAGAGAATGCATATAAAAAATATCTTCCCTTTCTATGCATCCTCTCATCCGGAAAGTCCACTTCCACTTCTCATCCTTTTCTTATAAGAAAAAGGATAGGAAGGGAAAGAGGACTGAATTAGGCCTCCGGGACACACACTCATCAGACTGTACGCGGAATTGATTCCACTTGAGGCGTGTCTTCTGTGTGGTCGTGGTATTTCACCGGGCGAGCCGGGACAATTCTATGCACGAATACTACTGTAATTAATAGCCTTTTGTTTAATATTTCAGCCAGAAATAAGAATATTATCACCGTCAACGTTAAATTTAAAAGTGACAGTCGGCTCGTCCGTTCTCACACAGAGCATAAAGACGACTGGTGTCTCCAATAAGCAACGCAGCCTCGCTCATACAGTGACGTCATCCGTCACGTCAACTTTGACGTCCGTGACATCATCCGTCACGTCAGCCAGTTTCACGAGCACAAAGACAAGTCGTGTGCTGAGTTTTGCATTGGATGAACCTCCCAAGGATATTTTTTCCGCTGAATTGAGTCAAAATTCTTCATTGAAAAGTGAAGAAAACGGTGATGCTGTGAACGATGATCAACCTATGGAGATAGATGAAGGTAGGGTAGTTGTAGACAATTTTAAGTGGGTACAAATGAAATATTTACAAAGTCTTTTTTGCCACTAAATCACTATGTCTGGTAGAATGCTATCGTCTTGTAATTTTCCTAGGTGAATTGTAAAGTACCACTGAAAAGGCAAATTCTCGACCGCTTATTGACTTTTACATCACATGTCAAAATTGTTCGGACAATCGCGCTAGTGGAAACAGGGTCTAACTTAGTAATCTTTTAGGTTTGATTTTTTTAGTAAAAAATTAATAATTTTGTAGCTTGTTCCCTCGCCGTTATAACAACTTCAGCAAATGACGAGAAATTGGTATTCGAAGACATTGCAAATAAGGTAATGTTATATATTTATCTAGAACTAATATTAAGAGGAAAGATTTGGTTGTTTGTTTGATTGTATTGAACAGGTTATGAAACTAAACCGATTTGATTCTTTAACTTTTTGGAAGCTACACTGTCCCCGGTACGACTACTGTAACTAACTTAAGTCGCGGGCAAAAGTTAGTTTTAAATATTTAAATAGACTTAGTTTATTTTCCAAACCATATTTCTTCATATCGTAAAAGGGTAATCAATTCTTTCCAGTAATTTATAGGAAATCAAATGTCACTGACAAATTGTAAACTCGGTCATTTTGTAATCTGACTAGGAATTACACAATTCGTTTATAACAATTTTAATTTATTTTATTATTTAAACATTTTTTTAGAATGATGATGACAAATCAAAGTCTTTCTTCGATGTGGACTTGTTGTCCAGTCTGGACTCGCCCGCTGGGGAAGGGGAGGGGAAGTACGTGTTGGGCAAGCTGCAGATGATGCAGGGGGATGATGATGATGATGATCAATGTAAGTTAAAACACGTTTAGATATATATGTATGCATTTTATTAAAATTGGGATGTCAGTGTAATACAGAAAAAAAAATCAAAATACTATTTGTGTTGCTATTAACGATTTAGTCCGTTAGTGTTTGTTTCGGGTAATTTCCGAAACGGCTAGGCCGATTTTGATAGGACTTTAACTGGAAGGTAGCCGATGTACGCGTGCATATTATAATATTTAAATTTTGCGCTGATGAATTCGCGGGCGACCGCTAAGACAGTCTAGAAGTAAGTTTTAAGATTTAGGAAAAAAATAAGCCTTTTTGTTCTTCCAGATTATGTTCTAAATTTATACCAAATTTCGGCGAGATCCAGCCGTTCTGTAGATATCTTTTAACATCCATCTATCCATCCATCCATACAAACTTTCGCACTTATAATATTGTTAAGATATATTTTTTATTAGCTACGATAGTAATGGGCAGTGAGAACGGAATAATCCGCGTGATGTCGGGGCAGAAGTTCCTGTCAGGGGAGATATCTCTGGTGATGCCCGAAGAAGAAGACCTGGAAGAGCAGGATACACAAGGTAGCGACATTCCAAGGGTTAGGGACACATTACTTAAAAAGGAAAGGAAATAATAAAAAAGTATTAATTTCAGATTCAAATGAAGACTCCCAGTTTGAGCTGCACGTGTCGGGTGACGAGGAGACAGCTAATGCTATAATTGCGGCTGCGCAGGAACAGGGTAAGTAGGGCATACAAATAATTATCTATATGTTTAAATAGTCGATAATATCCGATATTTTATTCAGTCTGTGCACACATTGGCTCTATCTCTACACCAAACCTGTCACTTGTCAAACACACGCACTACTGACAAGTGACATTGACAGATGTGACACACCACAAGCAATGTTGCCATACGAATAAAATAATTATATTTGAAATTAATATTCTCTGATAAATATAAATTCTAGTTTTTAACATTTTAAATTTAGTAACTCCAAAACGGTTGTTTTAGCAATGCCATGATTTCTTCCAAAAAAAAGTGTAAACAGACAGAGGAGGGATGCACTGAAATTAAAAATATCCCCTCCCCTGTCTAATCAACTTCCCCTACCCATCTATTCCTTATAAAAAGAATAGGAAACGAAACGCGAAAAGTATTATTTGTTTGTTTAAAGGCGGAGCTTTTATAAAAGTGGAATCAGGAGAGATGTATCGAGTTGAATCAGTTCAGAGCAAACCTGAAGACGATGTGTCTGGTGAAGACGACGCCATGTTGGTGAGTTTGTAAACTGACGTAACACTAATCATTGAAGGGGACATATTTTTTTTTATATCATAAGGTGGCAAACGAGCGAGCGGCCACCTCGCTGAAATGGTGAAGTGACCGTTGCCCATAGACATCCTTATGTATGTCAAAAGTGTGGTAAAGGAAACAGGACTAAATTAGGCCTCAGGGACTCATCAGACTGTACTTGGAATAGCTTCCACTTGACGCCTGTCTTCTGTGTAGTTGTGGTATTTCACCGGGCGAGCCGGGACAATTCGTGAGATGTTAAAGCGGGATATTAAAAAATAATACTTGAACTTTGATATAAATGTTTTCATTTGATTCACATGAATTGAAAATAAGAATAAATTAAACTGAATTAATAGCCTATGTGTTCCAGACTATGTTCTAGATATATGCCAAATTTCAGCTAGATACATGCAGCCGTTCTGGAGATACCTTACATATACATTTTCGTATTTATCTTATATCTTTAAATGAGCAATTCTTGTATACGTATATAATTCTTCTGTGAGTGTGTATGTCACTGAATTTCTCTCAAACGACTGGAGCGATTTTGATGAAATTTTTTGTGTGTGTTCAAGGGGATCTGGGAATGGTTTAGATTCACAAATTTGTCCGCTGGACAATGTTTTTTTAATTAATTTTTAATTTATTAGTAGTTGTTGATTTTGGAATGTTTTACATTGGATCCGACAGACGGCGCTACTATCGCAGTGTCAAATTTTAAATAATATTCGAATTGAAGACGTGTAGACAGGACAATGTCTGTCGGGTCCGCTAGTATATATATATATATATATACCATATTCCAATTATATATATATATATATATATATATATATATAATCTCGGAATCGGCTCCAACGATTTTCATAAAATTTAGTATTTAGGGTGTTGGGGGGGGGGGAATAAATCGATCTAGCTAGGAATCATTTTTAGAAAATGTCATTTTATTCGTGTTTTATCGATAATCAACTTAAACATAAACTTAACTTTTTCTATCGGTAAGATCGAAAAGTATTATTCATATTTCATCATTTACTTGAACACAATTTAAAAAAATACCGGTCATCCAGGTAGTTAATATTAACATAAGTAAGATGATATATTTGTTTTCAGTTAGACATTGTCGCTCGGGAGAATGGACAATTCAAATGTTTGATTTGCGAAAGAAATGATTCAGGTGAGAAAAAACTATTTTTTATATCATTTTGTGTACCGCTTTCTTTTTCCAGCAAGAATACTACTAGAAGTAACCGTTAGTGAACAAGCGAAACAAAGCTTTCGTTATATCTTTAAATTCTGCCTAAAAATTAGACCAAATAGAGAGTTAATATGTATAAAAGGCATATTAAAAGGCGAGCGGCTGAATGTTGAAATAGCGATGTGACCGTTGCCCGTAGACATACGCAATTTCATATGCGTTGCCTACCTTTAATCGATGGAGGAGAGGATGCACAGAAAGAAAATATTTTCCCTTTCCATGCATCCTCTCATCCGGAAAGTCCACTTCCACTTCTCATTCTTTCCTTATAAGAAAAAGAGTGGGAAGGGAAAGAGGACTAAATTAGGCCTCCGTGACGGACTCTGTCTATCTTGGTTTATATAAAGGTGATTGTTGTTATCGTATTATAATGATATTGATGTGGTACAGAAGGTGCTCAGTTCTCGGGTAGTGCGGCGAGCATGGCGCAGCACATGCGCAGTTGTCACGGCGCGCGCATACACATCTGCGCACTTTGCGGACTCATACTGCGCAAGAAGGCGGACTACCTCGCGCACCTCAGTCAGTACGCGCTCACAACATGTTGCACAACACATTACTTGACACAATCAAAAAATATATATCTTGTGGGAATGTTCAATGCAAAGCTATAATGTTTTGATAATACACAAAGCACACATTTACATTTAAGCTATTATATTAATTGTGTTCAATAACTCTTTATACTAGTTGTCGCTCGCGACTCTGTGTGTGTCTAATTAAAAAACTTAATTAGTAGCCTATATGTTTTTCCAGACCATGTTCTACATCTATGCCAAATTTCAGTGATTTCTATGCAGACGTTCTGGAGATTACTTCCAACAGACATCCATCCATCCATCCAAGCATTCGCATTTTATAATATTAATAAAAATTTAACAAAATAAGTAAAAAAATGTAATGGCCACCACATAAGAATTAAAACCTATTTTCCACTAGATCGAATGTCGATATTTTTTTATTTTTCAGGCAAACACAAAAATCTGGTGCATACGGACAAAAGTAAAATGCACGAGTGTAATATTTGCCAGAAAAAGTACAAGTAAGTAAATACAAATTTTAAACTTTGGAGTTTAAATCGGGTAACTACTTCTCTTAAATTATTAATCTTTTTCTAGCTATTAAAATGTTTCTCTATACCAGTGTTTCCCAAACTTATTTTGGGCAGTACCCACTTTGAGAATAAATATTATTTTAGCGTCCCCATATTTTCACATATTTAAAAACCACTATAACTTCAAATTAAATTAATTAATTATTGTGACCTATATTTGTATATTAACGGAGAATTCTAAACGAAACTTTTACTATAACCCGCAACTTGAGACCTGCAGCGCCCACAAGGGGGTGTTATCGCACACTTTGGGAAAGACTGATCTAAATTAATCTCCAAGTATCAACGCTAATCAATATTAAACCTTATAGCAGTACAAATAAAGTTCAATTTCCACTTCAGTTCTAAGTCAACGTTGGCAGAACACATGCACACACACACAGGCTCCAAACCTCACACGTGTTCTGTGTGTGTCAAGAGTTTTGCTTCAAAGTACACACTGCAGTCACATCTCAAGACACATCTGGTAAGTGCACATACGAGTAGTCGAAGAAATCCACTGACATGATACTTGTCATGTCATGTCATGTCGTCCCTTTTACTCCCTTTGACAAAACAAAGAAAACATATGTCTTAATAAAAGTGGTAAATATGGTCGTGAAATTAGATCGATTTAGTAAATGTTCGTGAAATTAGATCGATTTAGTAAATGTTCGTGAAATTAGATCGATTTAGTAAATGTTCGTAAAATT